ATAATCAACAAACTGAATTACAATTAACCCAACTTACCTGCGCGGAATCGAGACTAAGGAATCAATCCTCGGGCCCGCTGCCCCCGCCGGAGCAGTCCCCATCGTCACCGGAACAACCCCAGCACCCCCGCCGGTAGCCTCCCCGGCTGCCCAAACCCAAAGCCAGACCAAACAGCCCCGATGGGTGATTCACAGCAACCCGAACAGTACATCAATTAACCCAAAATAGTTCAATCACATCCAATTGCACCCAATTGAATCCAAATAGCCCAATTGAACCCGTTTGGACCCAATTAGACCCAATTGCACCCAATTGGATCCAATTTGTCCAAATCTAGATGCTGCCCTATTCCGGCCACCTCGCCGCCGCCGTTGCCGGCGGTCGCCGAAGGAGATGACGGAAAACAGCCCCCCAAACACAAATTTCATAATTTCAACACAACATTCACAATTCTCATTCAAATTGAAATATTATACGCTAAGGAAGTTCTAATCTATGAATTAACGCTAACAAAAGGTATAGAAACCACAAATCACCTCGAAAAACGACGAATTGAACTTGAATCGGAGTGAATTCGCCGCTGCAACTCTTCCCTGGTTTCGCCGGCCTGCTGCGCGTGACGGAGAGACGAGGCGAGGACGTCGGTCGGAATCCCTAGCGTCGACGGCGGCGGAGGTTCTCGACGGTTGCTGCGGCTGCTGGCTCTCCCTGGCAGACGAACGGCGAACAGAGGCGAAACGGACGAAGTGCTTAAGTCTCGTAACTCCCCCACTCCCTATTTAATATAAGTTTAATGAAATTTTAAGGTCCAGTTTACACTTCCTAACTGGTTAGGATAAATTTAGGCCCAATTACCTCATTCGGCAGTCGTATCTTGGGCCCTATAAGTCCGATTCTCAATCCATTTGTGCGGTCGGGTTCAGAACAGCGTGTCGTACAACGTAGGTCAACCCCCATATTAATTATGCAAATTAGAAAATAATCTTCGTATTGATCGGCCCAATAATTAATTAATTCTACAAATTAATTAAAATACTAAGCCGAGCTTCGGGGCGTTACATTTCACTCCCCCTTAAAAGAATTTCGTCCTCGAAATTATCTGAGTCATTGTCACTAGAAAGGTGAGGATACCGAACTCTCATGGAATCCGAGTCTCCCATGTGGCTTCTTCAACGGCATGGTTGCGCCACAGGACTTCGACCAAAGGCACCCGCTTATTTCTCAATTGTTTCATCTCTCATGATAGGATCTGCATAGGTTCCTCCTCATAAGTCAAGTTACCGTCCAAAGTGATTGTTCCCTCGGGTAATCGATGGGTCAGATCTAATCGGTAACATCGCAACATAGAGACGTGAGACACACTATGAATCTTGTTTAGTTCAGGGGGTAGCTCCAACTGATACGCTACAAGACCAACTTCCGCCATGAGGATGGAAGATTATGCTCACATTTAGCTTGGTACCCAAAGCTTGTTGAAGTCCCTTCCTAAACTTTGAAATGAAATAGGGACCCCTTTCGGAGATCATAGATACTGGCACTCCATGCAATCGAATAATCTCGCGAAGACACAATTCCGCTAACTTGTGAAGCGACATACCCCGTCGAACAGGTATAAAGTGTGCAGATTTTGTCAGACGATCCACAATGACCCATATAGCGTCGTAGGGGTAAGCCAATTACGAAATCTATCGTGATCCACCCATTTTCACTCGAGGATAGAAAGCAGATGTAACATTTTAGACGGTACCCAATGCTTGGCCTTGACTTGCTGGCAAGTCAAACCGTGTTGTAAACTCAAAGACATCTCCCTTCACAATGGGCCACAATAGTTTCCTTACAGGACATGATAATTCTTATTAATACCCGGTTGTAGAATATTTGGAGAATACTCCGGTGTTTCTCCCTGGCAAATCTGAATAACGAAGAAACGAGGAGAAGATGATACGATGAAGAGTGCTAACTAAATTGGTGAAAATCTGGTAAATGGGCCTTTGACTTGGAAAGTATCACTCCGTGATGGTTTCGCATTTAGGGGTGGAAATTTCTTATTTTGTTATTAAAAGTTCTATTATAAAATTACTGAACTATAACATTTATTTTGATGACAACTTTTAAAACATAATTCCCAACTCGACCAACTATGTGTCTATGTGTCACGGGTCACCCTTTTTGCGAGACCTACCCAACGATCCAGGATTCGTGAGTTAACATTATTTCCACGTCCCCTCGTATGTTACTCGTTCACTTTAAAATCTTCTCGGTCTTGGGATGAGCAATTCCCTAACTTCTGTAACTCATATTTGCACGCGGAATACGCTATTGAACTCGTCTTGTCAGGACTTTCAATTTGAATATGAATTTTTCCCACCAAATTTAACTTTGAAAATCAATTAATTTTAGCATTGACATTTTTGTTATCTTATTTTTAATGTTTAATTTAAACAAAAATTAAAATTATGATTTGTTACGTAATTAAAACTAAATCCTAGGGTATACTTCACGGCATTACGTTTCACCTTTTTTTGGATACGACATGTATTTTCTTTTTTTTTTTTGTGTGTGCAAAATGATCATTTATCAAAAGTTCTCTAGTGAAAATGTTTAAGTGACTTAATCACTACGCCGTTTACCTAAAAGATTAACACACAATCTAAAAATAATTATTTTTATGAAAGTAACAATTTACCTTGAATAAGATAACCTTTTACAAACTTTATTTCTTAACCCCCTTTTGTAAAGAGGAAATGTATTGTTTTTTTTTCCTTTTGTTACCCATTACGTCATATTGTCATCCTCGTCTGACCCTGAAATAAAACAACCTCATTCGTTAGAGTCTGCAGCCCCTTCTGAATTTGGTTGTCATTTCAGTATTCAGCGACTCAATTGAATACTAGATAAAGTTTTTTTTAACGATGCCACTAGGCCACCAATTTCACACCTTACCTTAGTGCTACAATATACCCTGTTCTCGCATGGATTGAACAAATTTAATTTCAAGCTTACCTGAAATTATTCATGAAGTTACTTTATATATATATATTTTTGCACAGTCACTTACCACTTAAAATATTAGCATCACCAATCTAAAAGAGCGTAGTTGGAACCCCTTTGCAATATTTTATTTTTGTTTTGAGCAACCCTCGTTTAGTTGATTCATATACACAATTTGTTTTTGTATTAAATAATAAGTTTTTAGAAAATTAATCTCACCAAAAAGTATCATAATTATCAGAACTTTTAAATTCTTAAAAGTAACCTTTAGAAGCTACTTTCTTCAAATTTCATCTAACATCGGCTACTTCACTTATCTATTATATATATTTTCCTAAAGATAACTTATTAGATACTTATCTCTCACATAGTCTAAATATATGGTAATTTTTTTTTCTTATATGGTAACTACTCGAAAAAAAACTTGTCTAATTCAAAAATTCTTTCTTATGAACCACTGCTCAACATGATATTTATTACTAGTTACGTAAGTTCATTAAGTAGCTTATAATTTATAAGTTTTTTTCATTTGGTTCAAATTATGTGCATTCACCAAAATACTTTGGTTTAGAGTTAATCCTAACGGTTCAACCCATAATATTTGTTTTCATTTTCTTCGTTCAACAATTATTTGTTGGGAACATTTCATTCTAGACATGAGGTTTTACATACACTTTACAACATGGTGATAGTTATAAATCTTCAATTGTGAGATGTTTTTTTTCTTCCAATATATAAAATTTAGCGAATTAGTTACATATCTTGTTATTCTCTTCTAGAATATTTACTTTGTGTAATTCATCCCATACTATTGAGCCACCTTGTAATTCAATATTAAGCATTAATTAATCTTTGGTGGCGTGATGCTACAATTTTGAGAAAGCTAATTATGTTTGAGAGTCTCAGCACAACAAATTTGGTCTGAAATTAATCAAAAACAACTTCGAGGATAATTGTGAGTTATCCATTTCCCTCAAGTTGGCACCGGGCAGCTAAGTTCATATCTACATTCTTTTATACAATTTTTTTTTTCTTTCATATTTACATTCTTTATACAAACCAACTACTAGTGTGTTAAATCCAACTCCAGTGGTTGAGATTTTCAATTGTGACTATATATATATTTTTTTTAACTCTTACACATGTTATCAACATGTAATATAATGTATTCTTTCTCACAATTATTAATATAACATGATCACACTAGTCGTCATGGATAGTTGTGGATTATGACTTAGGCTCGTTTGGTGAGTTTTGGAGATGTGATAAGACATAAGTTTTTTTTTTAAATTTGAGAGGAGATGATATGAGTTCCGAAATCTGATTAGAAGGTGTTTGGTGAGAGAGACATATACTATGTATATAGGTAGTGATTATGAATAATAGCAAAACAGAGACCAATCCACCGCTGGGAACTTCACCAAATTTTGTTGCAGAGGAACGTATAGGAAACTAAACGTGAGCATGGGTTATGAATAGAAAACATATTCCTCGTCCGTCATCGTCGTTGTCGAGGGAGATATGAATAGGAAACATATTCCTCCTGCTAGAGACACGCCTTTCCCGTTGCCCCATGGGAAGGAGACATAAAGTTGGATGCGAAGATAAGAGAATTTTGATATGTTGAGACAAAGTTTTCCCATCTTCATCTCCTTCGATTTTGATAACAACGTCTTTCTCGTTTTCGATAGCGGTGAATTAAGATTGGAAATTTCTCATATCTCTAGCTTTCAATATTAAATTTCTTTTTAGTTCACCAACACCAAAATAAAGACTTTGATATTAGAGATATCAAAATCCACATTTTTTTCTTCTCACCAAATACAACCCTAATTAAGATTCACCCTCCGAATTCACTACACATAAGTATTTCTTTATATAACTTAATAAACCAACCAATAACTATATATTAAACACAACAAATAATTATCACATAAGCAACAATAGGGATTCAGTGTTACCTCCCGGAGCAGTGACGCAGTGAAGCTGTAGATGCTCGACACATGTATATACATTATGTGTTAAAAACAAAAAAAATAGTTCTTTTTTTTCAAAATTCGTCACCTTTTTTTTAAAATTGATAACAACATCATTTTTTTTCCTTTTTAAACAAAATAGTTTTTTTTTGAAATTGATAACATTTTTTTTTTTAAAAAAAAAACAAAAAGAATTTTTATAAGTTTAATTATTTTGGCAAAGAATCGTTTTTAAAACCACATGCTCCGATACCAAAATGTAACACCCCAACCCGCGTAACCCGAACCAACGGGTTAGCGAACCGGGTTGTTACTAAATTGGTATTCGCATGCATAATTTTTTTTAAAACAAATAACCAACTCATTAAATTATAAATTCATCCGTGGGAGCTTAAAGCTAAACCAAAATTTATCGGAGTAATAAAACAAGTCCAAAAGTCGTGGAAGCATAATTAAACCAAAGTAACGTCCAACAATCCATATAAGCAAATAAAATAATGTAGTTTTATTACTAAAGTAAACAAGAGCCATCCACGCCACCACCACTTCACTGCCCTCCGGGTTGCCCATCAAATTCCGTGTTCCTACCTGCGTGTAGTCAAACAACAACGACTACACGCTCAGCGAAACGCTGAGTGAAAATATACCTAAGCCAGCATTAGCTCACAGAATAGCACCACATTAACATACAATCCACAACAGCATGTGATCACGGAGGAAAAAAAAATAGCTTAAATAAACATATTTATATTAACACCTTTCATTTGAACATCATGTCCTTATTTTATTCCACATCAACTACTTTGAGTCATGGCACCCCAAGCGATGCTATAAAAGGGCCAGCTCAGAAACCCAAAGGAGATTCACTTTGGGCGGGTTGAAGCCCCTGTCCCTACGATGCCAGGACAGGTCGCGGACTTCCGTACGTACGTTTTTAACCCAAGACCACCGGGGGTGCGACGACGCCCCGCAATGGCCAATTTCCTAACCATATCCTATTGGTGATTCAATCAGTCAATCCAATTCAGGTCCCGCCTAATTAGACTAGGTGGCCTATTTCTCATATATTATTCGTAATCCACAATATTCACCAATAACATAAGTTTAATTTAAATCTCAGTTCACAATTCACAACAAATCACGTAGCGGCCTATCCGGGCCGAAGACCCACGATTACCGTCATGAATAATCAAGAAACTGAATTACAATTAACCCAACTTACCTGCGCGGAATCGAGACTAAGGAATCAATCCTCGGGCCCGCTGCCCCCGCCGGAGCAGTCCCCATCGTCACCGGAACAACCCCAGCACCCCCGCCGGTAGCCTCCCCGGCTGCCCAAACCCAAAGCCAGACCAAACAGCCCCGATGGGTGATTCACAGCAACCTGAACAGTACATCAATTAACCCAAAATAGTTCAATCACATCCAATTGCACCCAATTGAATCCAAATAGCCCAATTGAACCCGTTTGGACCCAATTAGACCCAATTGCACCCAATTGGACCCAATTAGTTCCAATTGGATCCAATTTGTCCAAATCTAGATGCTGCCCTATTCCGGCCACCTCGCTGCCGCCGTTGCCGGCGGTCGCCGGAGGAGATGACGGAAAACAGCCCCCCCAACACAAATTTCATAATTTCAACACAACATTCACAATTCTCATTCAAATTGAAAGATTATACGCTAAGGAAGTTCTAATCTATGAATTAACGCTAACAAAAGGTAAAGAAACCACAAATCACCTTGAAAAACGACGAATTGAACTTGAATCGGAGTGAATTCGCCGCTGCAACTCTTCCCTGGTTTCGCCGGCCTGCTGCGCGTGACGGAGGGACGAGGCGAGGACGTCGGTCGGAATCCCTAGCGTCGACGGCGACGACAGATGCGGAGGTTCTCGACGGTTGCTGCGGCTGCTGTCTCTCCCTGGCAGACGAACGGCGAACAGAGGCGAAACGGACGAAGTGCTTAAGTCTCGTAACTCCCCCTCCCTATTTAATATAAATTTAATGAAATTTTAAGGTCCAGTTTACACTTCCTAACTGGTTAGGATAAATTTAGGCCCAATTACCTCATTCGGCAGTCGTATCTTGGGCCCTGTAAGTCCGATTCTCAATCCATTTGTGCGGTCGGGTTCAGAACAGCGTGTCGTACAACGTAGGTCAACCCCCATATTAATTATGCAAATTAGAAAATAATCTTCGTATTGATCGGCCCAATAATTAATTAATTCTACAAATTAATTAAAATACTAAGCCGAGTTTCGGGGCGTTACAGCTGACATCATCTTTTTTTCAATGAGTCTAATTCATCCATAGTATCATATCATCATATCATATCATATCATATATCATATACTTCCTCCATCCCCCCTAAGATCTTCTCGTTTTGACTTTTTGTGGTTTTTAAGGAGAGTTGAAAAAAGGTGAAAGTTTACCAAAATAATCTTAATGAAAATAGATGGGGTATATTAAATAAGGTGGAAAAGGTGTAATAAATAAAGTAAGTGGGGGTAATTGTGATATTTTAAATGTTAAAAAAGGTAATGAGAAAAACTATTTTGGACAAATAAAAATGGTTAGTGGTTGTGACATGTGTCACGCCATGTCATTCACAACAATCATGCCACATCATGCCAACTACAAAGCCACATCATATCACCATGTGTCACTTAATTATTACATAGATGGATTCATTATGAAAGTGAATAAAATAAAAAGACACATATGTATCACTTAATTTTTAATACAATTCTTCATTTTCCAACTTTTATACGAATACGTATATTTTTATCTACATAGAAATGTCATTATTTTATGTTTGTATTGTTTAAATATTATAATTTTTTAAAAACAAAACATTATACTAATTTTTATAACTTTTAATCATTTATTTCTTCTTTTATGCATTTCAAAAACAAATATTTATATAAAATTAAATGCATGCACATCATTATTAGAATTATTTTTTTATTCAAAAAAATAGTATTTTCTATTTTTAGTACATACGATTTTCTATTTTATTATTAAAAATAATTTATGCTTTTATTTACAAGACAGAGAAGTATATAAAATATGCAATACTCCAAATTTAGGTGTAGTGTTTAAATGTATAGTTTTGCAATACTTTAGATATGACATTGTGTAATTGACCATATAAATATCACATACATAGAGTTCATTAATATTAAAAGAAAATAAATAAAGAATAAGAATTAAATAAGTGTATGTATAGAGAGTAATTAAAATAGGACTTTAGATCTTCAAGAATTGCATTTATGAAAATAAAAAATTGTTTTAAAAAATTAGTAATAAATTCATAAGATAAATAAATATTTTGAAAACTCACTTTTCTTATTTCATTCAAATTTTAATTTTTTTTTTCACTATTATTATATATATTTTTCAAGTAATAATTTTTGTGTGCACATACAATTTTCATTTATGTAACTATTCCAAAATTAGTAATTTTAGTGTTTAAAAAGTAGTCACAAGTTTCTAAATAAAAATTAACTTTTCAAACTTTTACATAAAAATTTACATCTAAAATATATTCATAAAAAAAATGTAAACCTGAATTAAACAATTAAAGTATATATATGCATTAGAATTGTAGTAGAGGTTAAAAATGTATCCAATCATGTGTGTTTTACTCATATCACCAAATCTCTAAAAAAATAGTAGGTCCCAAAAAACCACATAGATTTGAAGTAATTCAAAAACATTTGTGCATATGAAATTTATGTGTTTCATTTATTTGTGATGTAGTATAACAACTTTAATACATATTTCACTTATTTCTTCACCTTTTTGTGTTATATTTTTAATCAAATTTATAGATATATTTTACGAAAAATTATACGAGCCCGTGCGAAGCACGTGGTAAAAACTAGTTTATATATTAAAGTTCACAAAATGTGTAGACCTTAAAATCGCGAAAAAATTTACCAAGAGGTAAAATATAACGGCAAGGTTCTGTTGAAACTGTATGGAAGTGTCAACAGATGACACTCGACTATTTCAACCACCTCCAGTGCCCCGTTCTAAAAATTGATAGTTTCCACCCCTCCCGACCCACCCCTAAACCTCCTACCGTATCCCCACCTCAGTCCCACCCTCGCACCCCCACCCTAGACCCGGCCCTCTTAATGTGTGGCTATTATGCATTGCATAATAGCCACACATTTGGAGGGGATATAGGGGGAGTCTAGGGTGGGGGTGCGAGGGTGGGGTGTAGTGGGGTGGGGGGGGCTTAGGGGTGGGTTAGAGGGGTAAGATTCATCAATTTTTCTTTTGGAGCATCAGAGGTGCTCAAAATAGGCGAGTGTCATCGTTGGCAATAGATGACAGTATCAACGGAACCTTGCCAAAATATAAATAAATATAGTATCTGATGGTGTAAATTATCGACCGGTATATCGTTTTAGCTCGGGAAAACGATAAACTAGTCTAAAAAATACACCAAACTATAAACACAAGGATTTTTACGTGGAAACCCAAATCGGGAGAAAATCACGGGCCTTTTTTGGTGGTACCTTGCCAACGGGGGATTTTTATTAATATCGGGAGTGTGTACACGGTACATGATTTAGGCTAGAAAGCCATTAATGGAGCTTTCGAGCTCTTGAAGAAATAAAATACAAGAATATTTTTGAGAGAGAAAGTGTATTAGGCAGGGAGATGAATGAAATTGGCCTCCCTTATCATTGAGGGGGAGCCCTCCTTTTATAGGAGTAGTTGGAGAATCTACGGAGGAATATTCTATTATTCCTCCATTTTATTAAACAGGCCCGGTTTGACTGTTATTCGTAAATAATTGGGAAATGTGGGCCTAGCCACGTATTATTTCCCATCAAGAAGTCCTCCACTTTTTTAAGTTGTGAGAATCATCAACTTAAAAAAGTAAATAAGTTCTCCGAGTGCTATCTTCAGTCTTCGCACTTTGGATTCTTGGCCGGTTGATATTATTGCTAGTCCCCCGAGTCTTCATTAATTCTCTAATTTCTTGAATTACAAGTTTTTCCTGAAAAAATAATACGTACAACATTTTTTTTGACCGGCCTATGCCGTGCTCAAAAAATTATTATCTTTACCGAGGAGCCCGGTGTTAGGTGATTAAAATTCGTGTGAATAACTATCGTAACGAGAGCGATGTCAGTTCGATGAAGCAACGGTGCTAGTATGGATTTAATAAACGATGCACAGCGAAATTAGTATATCGAAGTGATTGATGTTACTTAATACGAATTAAGTACGCTGCAGCAGCTTTGTCGAAGATCAATGCTAGCCCAGCTAACTGATGCAAATATCTTCATGTCATGTAGAGACCACTTCCAGAGTGCCTTGTTTAAAAGGCTTGAAGAATCGGGCGTCCCCGATAAAAGCTCAGCTGAGACACCAGTGTACCCAATTCGATTGGGTCCAGACTAACAAGAAAATATGTGCAAGACCGGTGTGTATATCATTCTTGGCCTGTCTCACGCATAAGAATGATATTTACCAGCGCGCCAGTGTCACATATTTTAATATTTTTTATTATACTGAGCAAGACCGGTGTAGTAACCAGCGTGCCAGGCCGGGCCTGTGTCTCAGTCTTCCTCTTTTTTTTTTAATACTGAGCAAGACCGGTGTTGTAACCAGCGTACCAAGCTCGACTTGTGTCTCAGCCTTCCATCCAAATTCATCCAAAAGGCATGTGTAAATACCCAAATTATTGCTCCATAGTACTTGTGCAACATTAGTGGTGGGACCCAGATTTACAAAAGTGAGAGAACTTATCCCTCCTGTGGTGTCCTTTTGCAATGCATGCATTTCAACTTGTCTATGGTGGCCCATTATGAAATATATGGGGTAACATCCTGGACACCCCACCATCTCTCTCTTCAATTTGGACGGAAGCTACTGGATGGGATTCCCTAAGAATCTTTATCCAATACTCTGCATATCTCTCCACATGATATGCCTTTGCATCCCATCTTTTCAAAACTTGTATTCACATTACTGTCTTGACTTGAGGTAGCTCTCAACTCATTGTTTTGAGGTGTAGAGGCACCAGCGCAGGACCACTCATGTGATGTTAATCCTCAAGAAAAACTCAATGATTGTGTGAGGTGAATTTGTTGGAACACGGGTTTACATCAATGTCGTACTAAACCGTGTTCGTTTTATGACAGGTTTTGATAATGCCAAACTGCCGTGACAATGACAAGGTTAAAGTGAGCAAAACCAATGCGAAGGAACATGGCATGATTATTTGAGAACCAAGAATCAAGAACGAAGACTTAGAATTGTATTGAGTCGGTCTTAATGTGATCAAGACCGGCACAATCTTTCAAAACATGGCTCTCTAGGCTCATTTTATCAAAATACTTTTTGCATATTCAAAATGGTTTTATTAAGTCTTAAACTTGCCTAAAAACACTTGGAGTTCTCCCAAACCAAAAACCAAGCCATCCGGCGTTCGGTTTTCAGAAATCGGGGTTCGGCTCTCGGTTATCGGCATTGGTTTTTGGCGTCCGAACCAACCAAGTGGTTTTCAACATTTAATGATTGGTTTTTACTTCTGGGTATATGTAAATAGTTCTCCAACAAAAACGCCTCAAAAACCATCCTTCATTTTTGGTCGTTTAGTGAAAACCATGCGAAACGGCGTAAACTTGGCTAGCCATGGTTTTCAACTAAATGACGTGGTTTTCAAAATGTTTTACTTGATTTATTAGCAAAATGCATTAAACAAACATTTTCAATACTTAGTTTTTATTTTGGAGAACTTACATTTTTGAGATCGGCTAACGGCATGACTAAACCAACCATGGGCCTGGCTAAACCAGCCAAACAGCCATGTTGGTGTAACCAACAGCGCTGTCTGGCATGGGTAGCTGAAAACCATGGTTTGGCGTTAAGTCTTCCAACAGCGATGTTGGTTGTTAGACATCGCTGTTGAGCCAAGGTTGGGTTTCCAGAAACATCTGGAACATCGATGTAGCCTTCCCTACATCGTTGTCCAACCTAAGCCAAAAACAATTGCATTGGCAGGAAGTTTTTGGACAGCGCTGTTCTCCCAGTAACAGCGCTGTCTGGCCATTTCTTTTACTTTCAAGTCAGGCCTAAACAGCGATGTTCAAGAAATGAACATCGATGTAGGCACGTAACCGTTGGAAGGAATTTAAGGCTAAAACTTTCCTTGTTTGGAAGTCAACAGCCAAAACAGCGATGTAGGGGTTTTGGACATCGCTGTTGGCATGACTGTTGCTTCCCATTTTTCAAAACGCAAGCCTTGAACAGCGATGTCCAAGCCTAGGACAGCGCTGTCTAGGTGAATTTCAGCAGATCCAAATTTAAACAAATCCCACAAATTGTGCCAATCACCCCTTAAATGTTTTGATCCGTTGGAGCCTTTTTTTCCACTATAAAATGGGGTGTTTGGGTCTCTTTTACATATCACATTACTTCACAACTCCTACTCTTTCATTTCAAATCATTCATCCTTTATTCATAGCTTTTTAGAGCCATTTTTGTGAAGCTTGTGTTGTGTTCTTGAGCATTCTTAGTTACTCATTATCCACTCTAAAAGTGAGTATTATTCTTGAGTGTTTTTAGTGTTCTTAGACACTTGACAAGAGAAAATATTTCTCTTATTGTTCGAAGGAAGGGTTGTTTCCTTCGAAGGTTCGTTGAGGTTCGTGTGACTCGAACTCTCAAGTTGTACGGGTTTGTTAAGCACCGTTAAGCTTAACGAGGTAGTAGTGTAGCTCGAGAGAGTCTCTCGGGAGGCTGGATTAGCCACAAGTTGTGGTGAACCAGGGTAAATTCGGTGTGCCTCTTACTCTTCTCTTTACTTCTCTTTCATTTATTTTTAATTCCTGCGATTTCTTGATCAAACGCTATTCACCCCCCCCTCTAGCGTTGGTCTATTATTCTAACAATTGGTATCAGAGCCTAACTCGCGTCCAAACTTAACCGTTTGAGAGTAAAGCGATCATGGGCTCTTCTTCTAGAAATCTTTATGCAAGAATTGGAGAAGGTCAATCAACTTCTAGGCCACCACTCTTTGATGGCACCAACTACTCCTATTGAAAGGAAGGGATGAGAATCTATATCCATTCCACCAACTTCCAATTGTGGTTGGTGATCAAGAACGGCGAAGAAATCCCTATGAAGAAAGTGGGAGAAACCACGGTCCCAAAGACCGAGGACGAATTTGATGCCGAGGATATCAAGAAGATTGAGAATTATGCAAAGGCCATCAATATGCTATATTGTGCAGTCAACCCCAATGACTACCGGAAGATCTCCTGTTGCACAACCGCCAAGGAGATGTGGGACAAGCTTGAAGTAACGTACGAAGGTACCGATCAAGTGCGTGAAGCCAAGATCGATTTTCTCACCCAAGAGTATGAAATGTTTCGAATGAAGGAAGGTGAGAAAATTGACAACATGTTTGATCGTTTCACAAAAATTATAAACAATCTTCATGCTCTTAAGAAGACGTATACCAACAAGGATCTTGTAAGGAAAATCCTGCGAAGTCTCACCCCCGAATGGAGGTCAAAAGCCGATGCAATCTATGAATCCATTGGAGTCTCCAATGTCACCATCGATGGACTAAGAGGTAATCTTAAAACCTATGGATCTACTATTCTAACCCCGTCTTTGGATGAACAAAAGAAAAAGGGGATAGCTCTCAAAGCCACCAAGGAACCGGTGGAAGAGGTTTCAAGCGATGACGACAACGAGTTTGGACTCGTCATCAAGAAGTTCCACAAGTTCATGAAAAAGGAATTTGAGCGGAAGGGAAGGAAGCACGACGGTCCTCCCAAGTGCTACGGCTGTAGCGAGATTGGCCACATCAAGCCAAGGTGTCCAAAAGCCAAACACGGCAAAGACAAGCCCGGCTTCAAGAAGCAAAGGGCTTACATCTCTTGGGGTGGCGATTCCGGCGAAGAATCAACCGACCAAGAGGAGGACGAAGCTGCAAATCTTTGTCTCATGGCACACGAAGATCAAAACGACGACGTCCAAGAGGTATGTACCATTTCTTCCGACTCTTATACTTTTGAAGAAATGCAAGAAGCACTTCATGAACTTTATGAAGAATTTGTTAGCGCTTCTAAAACGAATAAGTCTTTGAAGAAACGTCTTTCTACACTTGAAAACTATTTTGAAAAATTGGAAAAAGCCAATGAAAAACTAAAACAAAAAAACAATTTTTTTGGAAAAAGAAGCGCTGACAAACCGGAAAGTTCCTCAGGTGAATGTGAGTCTTGTAAAGCTTTAAAAGAACAAGTCACTAAACTTGAGAGCACGGTCAAGAAATTTAATACTCCTCACAAAGATTTAAATTTGCTTCTTGACACTATGCATTTTTTTTAAGGAAGGAATAGGTTTCAATAAAAATGAAGCTAAAGTTAAAGAAAATGTTGAGCCACCACCTAGACAACCATCTAAGGTTCAACATAAAAAACCTAAAAATCAGGATAATAGAAAACCTAGTCAACCTAAGGACACTAGACAACCTAGACTAAAACCTAGGAATGAAAATGTCCATGGTAAACAACCTAAGAAAAATGATTTTGTGCATAAAACTGAATTTGCTCAAATTAGGAGAAATAATGTTAGAGCACCTAGAAAAGGTCAATTTCAAAATTTTCAAAGACCATCTTTTTCACAAAATAGGAACAAAATGGTTAAACCCTCTAACTATTATGAACCTAGGCACATGTACAACCCCAACGTAGTTTGCCATTATTGTAATAGGATAGGCCATATTGCTCCTGTTCGTTACACTAGGCATAGGCACCTATCACAAAATCAAGCACACTACCATCACACACCTAACACACGAGGACCCAACGTAAATTGGGTACCTAAAACTCATTGATGTGTTTCATAGGTGTGCTTGAAGGCATCAAGTGTACTTTGTTACCTTGATAGCGGATGCTCCAAGCACATAACCGGGGATGCATCCAAGTTTCTCCAAATTAAACCCGCTAAAGGAGGAAACGTAATTTTTGGAGATAATAGCAAGGGAAAGATTATCGGCATTGGTTCGGTAGGTAAATCTGAAAACTCTTCTATAGATAATGTCTTGCTTGTTAAAGGTCTTAAACATAATCTCTTGAGCATAAGTCAATTATGTGACAAGGGAAATCGTGTGACCTTCGACTCAAAATCATGCACGGTAGAATGCCTTAGTGACAATAAGGTCATTCTACATGGTGATAGAATCGATAATATTTATACGGTTAACTTAGACAAATCTCCTTCCGGCTTTGCTAAGTGCCTCATGAGTAAAGAGGAAGATACTTGGTTATGGCACCGAAGGGTAGCTCATATGAGCATGAACCTCTTGAACAAATTGGTTTCACAAGACTTAGTAATTGGCATTCCAAAACTCAAGTTTGAAAAAGACACCATTTGTGATGCATGTCAAAAGGGGAAGTAAATTCGGGCTTCGTTTAAGTCTAAAAACGTTGTTTAAACGTCTAGACCGCTTCAACTTTTGCACATGGATCTCTTTGGTCCTTCTAGGATAAAGAGTTTTGGCGGTAATTACTTTGCATTTGTGATTGTCGATGACTACTCTAGGTTTACATGGACCTTGTTTCTTACTCATAAAAGTGAGGCATTTCATGTTTTCAAAAATTTTCTAAAGAAAGTTCAAAATGAAAAAGACACAACCATAGTAGCCATAAGAAGCGACCATGGGGGAGAGCTCGAACAAAATCTGTTTTCAGATTTGTGTGACGAACTTGGCATTGATCATAACTTCTCAGCCCCACGTACACCACAACAAAATGGAGTGGTAGAACGTAAAAATAGATGTCTCAAAGAGATGGCTAGAACTATGATCAATGAGGCAAAAATCCCTAAGTAGTTTTGGGCGGATGCCGTGAGTACCGCGAGCTACGTGTTAAACCGAGCCGTCATTCGACCGATACTCATGAAAATGCCCTATGAATTATACAAAGGGAGAAAGCCAAACCTTTTGAAAGGTAACCATGCAAGGATAGGCAGCGGAATATAAAAATTTTAACATCCTAACATGATTATCTTGCCCAGAATCACGTACTAAAACTTATAGTAGTAAGAAATTTGTACCTTTCTCCGTAAGCGGTAAAAACGAAGAAGTCGTAGGAAGAGCGTTGAAAGTGCAAACGTAACCGTTCAAGCGTCCGGTCTCCAACTTTGACACACGAACAACGCCGGAGTCTACAAAAGCGGGTGAACCGCGCTCACCCCAGACAGTTCTAGAAAAAATACTACGGCAGTAAATATTTTCTAAAACTCATAAAATTAAATTAGATGTCCAAATAAATCTAATAAAATTTTATAAAAAGCATTTTATGCATTCTGGATATTCTTCCAGCATAAAAAAATATCCAGAATATTCCAAAAGACCAAAATGCCCCTTTTGCAAAATTATATTCAAAAAGGCCATTAAAATTTTGAAACAATTTTGCAAAAATCATGAAAATTAAATTTCAACTTCCAGTAGTTATTATTAACATTTATAAACCTGGAAATAAAATTTCCAAAATTTATAAATCATTATTTCCAAAATATATTAGTTAAATCACAATAAGTTATAAAAAGCCATTTAAATTGATTTCGAAAATATTAAATTACAAAAATTTAATATTTTGAAAAACATTCTTTTTCTTACTGAGATATAACATTCCAAAATATATATTAGTCATTTATGTAATTAAAATACAAATATATAAATATATATAATATTTCGGTAATAAAAC